ACATGAGTGTCCACACTGGACAGAAACCATTTGAATGTGAGGTTTGTAAACAAAGATTTGGCTGGAAGACTAGTTTAAACAAACACATGAGAGTCCACACAGGACAAACTGTTTAATCATAGGAAGATCTAGGATTAAGGAATAAGCTGCTATATTCATTTCCATCTGCTCACTACAGACTTATGTTTGGGCTGCTTGTAACATGCCATTAAATATACCGGTATTATTTTACATTATTAGTATTTTCAAGGATTCAAGGTTTTTTTATTTGTCATAACCACCACGTGTGCCGCATGTGGTGGAACGAAATTTTGTACACAGGGTCCTGTTACATCCAACAAAAGTATTAAAATGTAAAAGAAAACAGTAATGAGATCTAAGATATTAACTAAGAAAAACATTAACTAAAAATACACTAAGCACTAATAGCATAAAAACAATATGCCTAACAGCAGCACGAACATGAGTCTGTGTGAGCAGAGGAGTATGAATGAACACAGCAACATGAAACAGATCAGCAGCAACATGAAACAGATCAGCAGCAACATGATGTGATTTTTCACAGTGATTATCCTGGTTAGAGATTCCATGAGTCCAACAGCCTCAGAGTAGAAGCTGTTCCTCAGTCTAGTGGTTCTACACTTAATGCGCCTTAACTTCCTGCCTCAGGGGAGCGGGACAAAAATTGTGTGTGCTGGGTGAGTGGGGTCCTTCATGATGCAGGTGGCCCTCTTCCTGCATCTAGAGGTGTAGATGTTTGTGATGGTGGGAAGGCTGACTCGGCAACAGTGGAGTACACAATTTCATTCCACCTCATGTACCACATGTGATGCGAATGACAATAAAAACCATTGAATCTTGAATGTGGACAAATATTTCGCCATAAGCGTATTTTAAACATACAAAAGTTCACAGTAACAAAGCTCTCCTCTGCAGTGACTCAGGTCAAAGTTTTATTTATTTTATTTATTTATATAGCACTTTCCATCAATGCTGTACATTGAACAAAGTGCTTTACAAGATAAAACAAATAAAAACGGCACAATTAGGGATGCACCAATCCACTTTTCTTTTTTTTTTTTACTTCAGATCCGATCCCGATATGTAAATCTGGATATCGGATGATACTGTTCCGATATTATCATCATTACTGATTTTATATGCGGCTGTAATAATCTACTCTCTATAGGCAAGTACAGTTTGTACAAATATATGCATGCACGTCCAAAAAGGCAACTTGAAGTAAGTTTTATTGATGTTGGATAAGTTTCAAAGTTCGTATTAAATCCTGGTAACACAAAACATGTTTTTTGATTCCTAGATTTAAAGTGGATATTAAAGTGGTTAAACAGCTTTAAACATCTGCTAAGTTCATGGCATAAACCAACACAGACATGTTCCTGTTTTTAGTATTTTATATCATTTTATAATGTAGCAGTTTTTGTTTCGTTGTTTTTATATACAGTATATAATTTTCTTGTATTTTTCAATTCATATGCTTTTTTATAATTGTCTACTGTTGTACTGATAAGTATCTCCTGGAGGGTAAACTATATCTTGGTTGCAAGTATTCAATCCAGCTGCAAAATACTTTGTTTTCTACAACTGATAGTGGTTGGGCAGCACGGTGGCGCAACTGATAGAGCTGCTGCCTCTCTGCGAGAAGGTTGCTGGTTCAAATCCCAGTCGTGGGGCCTTTCTGGGTGGAGTCTGCATGTTCTCTCTGTGCATGCATGGGTTCTCTCCAGGTACTCCGATTTCCTCCCACAGACCAAAAACATGCATGTTAGGCTGATTGATAACTCTAAATTGTCCCTAGGTGAGAGTGAGAGAGTGAATGGTCAGAGGCAATGAGGGGTTCAGTGTCTTACCCAGGGACACTTGCAACATGTGACTGCTGGTGGAATCAAACTCCTAACTCCCACTGGAGAACAGCTGCCTTAAGGTTTACCCCAAGTGTACAAAACATACTTTTTCAAGGCCCATCTTGGAAAGTGTACAGAAAATTGCTGACTTTCCCAAAACCTACTTTATTATAAGTAAAGATGAACTTTTAAACCCATGTGCTTATATGGATATTGTATTGTTGTATTATTATGTATTTATCATTGTATTTGGAGGAGTTTAAGTACCACGGGGTCTTGTTCACAAATGAGGGAAAAATGGAGCGGGAGGTCGATAGGTGATAGATGTGACGTCGGCAGTGAAGCGGTTGCTGTACCGGTCTGTCGTGGTAAAGAGAGAGCTGAGTCAAAAGGCAAAGCTTGTCATTTACTGGTCAATTTATGTTCCTACCCAGATGCCCGAGCCATTTCAACTGGCTCCTCTCTAAAGGTAAAGTAAGCGTTGGTCAGCTTTAGAGAAACCTGCTCTCTGATCTATGAAAAGAACACTGTTTTGTGATTTTACTGCAAGACCCTCTGGTCAAAGCCACAGGAAACTGGTCGCCATGTTGTGTCAGCTCTCCTTAAAGCGTAAGGAGACGTCCACTAGAGGGTTGGAGGGTGAAGTGTTTCAGTGTGCACTTGCTGCTGTGTTGCTGTTCATTTCTTAAGTGAGAATACTGGAAACTGTTGAGTTAACAACATATTCTTTTGTTTAAAACATGGCTAAAACTACATTTGATATCTTTTGTTCTGTTTTGCACTACAAGAAAGAAGCCTAATACTTGATTTGTTTATTATTTAAAAACTCTGGACCTAGTGGTGGAATTTTCTTAATTGAGATTATTTTGTGGTATAGCAGATTTCAAAATAAATTATGGCAAAAGGACAACCTATGTTTTTTTTCATTCCTATTGCAAGTTTTATACCAAAAACATATTGTGATATATATCGTTATCGCCACCTTTCACAATGCATATCGTGATGTGAATTTTGTGCCATATCGCACATCCCTAACATGTCCCACCGGAAGGAGACCCAGAGGAAGACCCAGGACACGCTGGAGGGTCTATGTTTCTCGTCTGGCCCAGGAACGCCTTGGGATTCCCCCAGAGGAGCTGGTCCAAGTGGCTGGGGAGAGGGAAGTCTGGGCCTCCCTACTTAAGCTGCTACCCCCGTGACCCAACCCTGGATAAGTGGAAGAAAATGGATGGATGGATGGATCATTGAATTTGTGGAAGCTGTGGCTGAGTGGTTAGTGCAGTTTCCCTCCAATGGGAGAGTTGGGGGTTTTGACTCCACCAGCAGTCTCATGTTGAAGTGTCCCTGGGCAAGACACTGAATCCCTCATTGCTTCTGATGTGAGTCCCATCAGAGTATGAATGTGACTTAAAACACTGATTAGTCTTTGTATAGATCTAGTAGAGTGCTGTATAAATTAGTAAAAAAATCTCTGTTGCAGGTCCAAAACTGTGGAATGAGTTACCACTGCATGTCTGGCAGGCTCCCTCTCTCACAGTTTTTAAATCTCGTTTGAAAACACCTTTATTTGACACTGTGTGAGCTAATTTCAACTCGTCTATATTCTATAATGATAGCCCATTAGTTCTTATCTGTACCCCTGGGTGTTCTATGTATTTTTTGCTGTGTCCTTTGCTTGTTTTTTTGTTTGTTTTGTCTTTTGTTTTTTGTTGTACAGCACTTTGGCATTGCTGCTGTTTTAAGGGCTTTATAGATAAAGAGGTATGGTATATGCTTTGTTTTATGTTACACTGTTTTTTACTTGTGCTTTGGGAAGCAAACCCAAATTTTGTTTTACCCTGGTACAATGACAATGAATTATATTCTGTTCTATTCTACCAACTGAGCCACCTTGGCAAGGCATATTGTTTTTGTTCTGTTAGTGGTTAGTGTATATTTAGTTGATGTTTATCTTAGTTCATAGGCTTAGTTCATATCTTAGATCTTATTACTGTTTTTCTTTTACATTTTATTGTTGGGTGTAACTGGGACCCTGTGTACATAATTTTGATCCACCACATGTACCACATGTGGTGTGAACGACAATAAAGAATATCTGTATCAGTATCAGAAATGTCAGTTTTCACTTGTTCATATTGGAATAATCTTTAGCGCCATCTGGTGGACAAAACAAAATACTGCACTGACCACACAAACTGCAGGTTCTATTTCGTATAGGCTTCGCCCTTTAAGGCTATCGCTAGTGGGTTTATCCCTTCGTGGGCAGCACTGAAAACTTTAGTCTGCGCCCACCGGCTGTGTGGGCCCCGCCCCCGGTCCGTATAAATTACGGTGAGACCGGACAATCGGCTCCCACTTTTTCTTCAGCCAGCAAGCACTGTCTTAAGAGTGAAGAAAAGAAGATGTCCAGCACCAGCACCATCTGCCTGTGCCCGTCCTGCCAGACCGGCTACATTATGAGTTATGACCGGCACAAAATCTGCGAAGGATGCCTGGGATGGCAGAGTTGTAGTCCTCCACATCTCTCTGCTGCTTCTCCTCTGTTACCCACCCACACCCCCATTGAAACAGTGTCAACTCGCACACGGCTGAAATTAAATA